CTTATTAAAAAGTTTTGCACAGCAAAAGAAACCACCAGTAGAGTGAAGAGACAATCCATAGAATGGGAAAAACATTTTTCCAGCTGTTCTTCAAAGGACTAATATCTGTAATATATAAAGAACTCAGAAAAATAAGACCTCTGACCCCCCAAATGTAAGGACCCCATCTAAAAATGGGCATCTGAAATGAATACACACTTCTCAAAGTAGAAATGGCAAATAAATATATGAAAAATGTTCAACATCCCTGTGTTAGATTTCCCTTGCTTCAAGGTGGCTGCCACATAAAACAGTAGCTTCCTTCCCATAATGCTCTGCTCCTTAAAATGGCTGCCACATGGAATAGCCGCCTCCATGTTAAATATAGCTTCTCCTACCAAGGGACAGCCTTCTTCCTACCATCATGCTTCTTTTCCAGCCAAAAGAGTGAGGTCACAAGCCTCTCCTACTGATGTCACAGGCTCCTCCAATCTCTCTCTCTTTTTTTTTTCTTTTTATTCAGTTTATTGGTACAATCTAGGTATACAATACAGTTACATTCATCATTGGGATCCTGTACCTTTACATAATAGGTCTTGATTCTCATTTTTTCCCCTTCCTCCAATCTCTTAATGCTACCTCACTCAACTCCACCACTGCTCAGGTTAACCCCACCCTGCTCCTATAAAAAAAGCTCCCTGTTCCACCATGCTGTTTTTTCCTTTGTTAGGAGACAGCCCAGCCCAGCATATCCTCCCCATAATAAAGGCTTGTTGCAGTCCTGGTCTGGTCCTGGTTTTTCATCTCTTTTGCCTAACACACTGGTCATTCAGAGATGCAAATTAAAACAACACTAACATTCCATCTCACTACAGAAAGAATGGTTATTATCAAAAAATCAATAACAAATAACAAGACATCAATAAAAAATGCTGGCGAGGCTGTGAGGAAAAGGAACTCTTCTTCACTCTTGGTGGGAGAGCAGACTGGGGCAACCACTGTGGAAATCAGTGTGGTGATTCCTCAAAAAAACTAAAACTAGAGGTTCCATCTGACCCAAGTATTCCCCTTCTTGGCATCTTCCCAAAAGAATTAAAAGAATTAAAGAATTATACCACAGTGATATATGCATGCCCATGCTTATGGCAGCAGTTTGTAATAGCTAAATTTGGAAATAGCCCAAATGCCCATCAACCAATGAATGGATAAAGAAGATGTAATTTTTTAATACAGTGGAGCACTACTCTGCCATAAAGAATAAACTTGGGACATGTCTAAGTAAATGGATGGACTCTGAAACTATACTCTTAAGTGAAATAAATTGAACATACGTGTTTAAATAACACATGGTTTCTCTGGTGTGAGAAACCAAGAGGGTAAATAAGGACCAAAATGTACATGAGACATTGTGAAGTAGAACAAAATGTTCAAATGGGAAGGGAAACGAGGGAAGGGGGAGGGGGAAAGGAAAAGAAAAAAAAAGAATAGAAGGAAAAATGGAAGCAACACTTTTGTAAATAAAGAGGGAAATGGGGTTGAAGGGAGAGAAAAAAGAAGCAAGATACACCACGCACAGGTACAAACTCCCTATGATGAATGCTATCATTATATATATATCTAAAATGTATCAATAAGATTAATTTTTAAGAATTGAAAAATTAAAAAGAGCTGGGGATAAATCTCCTTGTGAAGGCACTGGGTCAATCTCTAGTACAGGAGAAGAGGAAAGAAAAGAGGAGAGGAGGGGAAGGGAGGGGAAAGAAAGGGGGAGAGGAGGAAGAGAAGGAAAGCAGGAAAGGAGGAGGGAGGGGAGGGAGAGGGAGAGAGAATGACTACCATGTGAGAAAGGTGTGATACTAACAGGCTGATACCCTGTGTTCACCAATGAAGAAATGAAGGGTCCAGCGGACTTTGAGTGGACCATGGGTATATGAGATTTTTAACTCTCCTTTTTCCAATATTGACTCTGCAGTGGGTGATAGGGGTTGGTTAAAAAAAAGGGGAAGGAAGGAAGGCAAGCAAGAGGAAGGAGGGATGGAAGGAGCAAAGCAAAGAGAGGTAGAGAGATCTGAAACACCTCTGATCCCATTTCAGTTAAAGGGTTTTTAACCAGTACTCTCTTCCAATAGGTTTTTTTTTTCCTTCTGAGTTCTTTGACATGTGCGTATTTATAAATAAATGTATTTTATGTATTTGCTTTCTCCCTTCATTTTTAACAGTGGAAATTAAAGCACAGATCACCCTAGTTGTGACTTGAACTGCAGCTTTTACACTCAAACTTCTAAATAATGATCCAAAACTCACTCACAACTACTTTGCTTAGCTGTGGTACGCACCATCCCAAAATGAGATTTGAAATGGCCTTAACAAGCTAACTTTCCACATAATTCTTCTACTGATTTTTTTTTTAAAAAGCAAATTTGTGGAAATTTCCTTCCTAAGAACATTATCCTAAACTGATTATCACAAAGAGAAAATCATTTTCCCCTAGCAGCATTAAGTTTTTTTTTTCCATTAAATTTATTGGTACATTTTAGGTATACCATACAGTTACATTCATCATTGGGATCTTGTACTTTTATGTAATGTACCTTGGTTATTTTTCCCTCATTCCCCGGCCCTCTCCTCACCCACTCCACACCTTACATATTTACAAAGACTTTGTTTCCTTGTATTTTCTTTTCCTTTACCTTTCCCCTACCCTTGCTACTTCCCCTACTCCTTTGGAATTTTTCTTCCTATTATACAATATCAATTATACATTTTAATCCTGATTTATACTTTTAGATTTTCATACAGAGAAACTAACTGGTATTTACACATGTGTGTCCTATTAATTTTACTTAAGAGTATGGCCTCAAAGTAGATCCACTTTTTGGAGAATGACCAGTGTGCAGCCAAAAGAATGTATATTCTGATTCTGTGGTGTGAAACACTCTGTACGTGTCTATTAAGTCCATTTGTTCAAAAGCTAGTACTTCATTGTTGATTTTTTTGTCTAGATGATCTGCCTGGTTGTGACAGTGGGATATTGAGGTCCCCCACTACAATTGTATGAGTGCTTACTTGGTTTTTCAGGGGTAGCTATCTTATTTACAGACAAAGTAAATTTCAAATCAAAACTAATTAAGACAAAGTAGGTTCTTACATCCTTGTAAAGGGAACAATCCAAGAGGAAGAGATGACAATCATAAATACTATACAAAACAAATAGCATTAAGTTACAAGTGATTTCGCCCCAAGCACCACAGTGCCAGTGCCCCAGGGCACACTGTCCTTAGAAAGTCTTGCTGCATACCTGTTTCAGGAACATATGCTCTTCAAAAAAAATTTAAGATAAAGCAACCAAAACATATATTTGAGACTGTAGGACCCACTGTGCATTAAAAAATGGACGGATATTAGCTATGATATTGGATTTGCAAAAGTAAATAACCCCCTAGATATAGAACAGAGCAATTAAGACTGAAAATGCTGATGGATTTCAGTTTAGTCAAAGCATTTGTTTCCAGGGAGTAAAACCAGAGCATCGCTGGCCTCTAGGAACCAGGGAAGGGAGAAGAGGTGTGGAGGGGAGGAGGCAATGAGGAGCACGGGAGTGAGGAGGGGAAAGGGAGAAGACAGTGGAGAAGCGAGGCTGAGTTCCCGGGCCACTCTTAAGCTGGAAGGCTGCGCCCATCCTCCCTTCACAGTGATCACCACCCACCCAGAGCAGGGGCCACATGGCTACACTCCAAGGGATCGGCTCCTGCTAGTGCTAGTTTAAACCCACTGGCACCTCGTCCCATGTTAGCTTTTATTTAAATAACTGTCATTGTTTACATTTCCTCCGTTCCTATTTAATATTTAAGACAAAAACCAGGATGAGAAAAGAATTAGAATTTGAAAATCTAGACTGCTCGTGAAAATACATCAGGTCGACCATTTCAGAAAGGGTACCTGAGTACTAGCGGTTAACACAGGAAAGGGATGGATTAGGACAAGCACTGCTGAGGGTGTGGAGAAACTGGGGCCCTGGATCCTGGCTAAGGGGAAAGGTAAAAGGGTGCAGAGCTGGGAAGAACAGCTGAGGTGTTCCTCAAAAAGTTAAAAATGGAATTACCTATGACCTGGCAATTGCACTTCAAGGTGTATCCCCCAAAGAACAAAACCTGGGGTTCAAGCAGGTGCTTGTAATACAGATGGTCACTGTGGCATCACCCATAATTCCCACGTGGAGGCAACAACCCAAGCATCTATCAAGAGATGAATGGTCAACAAACTGTGCTATAGAAATGCAAAGGGATATTACCCAGCCTTAAAAAGGAATGGAACGCTGACAACAGCTCCAACATGGATGAACCCTTAGATGATATTCTGTTACATGAAATGAGCCAGGAACACAAGGACTAACACTATATGGTTCCACTTATACATGAGGAACTTAAAATTGTCAAATGAGAAGGAAGTATAACTGAGGGACTGGGAGAAGAGGAGGAGAATTAGTGTTTAATGGACCCAGAGTTTCCATCTGCAGTAATGGAAAAGCACCAGGGACAGAAAGAGATGGTCACAAAGCCACATGAATGTACCAACTACCACTGAAGTGCACACTTGCAAGTGGTAACCACGGTTACATATGTTTTACAGCAAAATGATGACATAGCCACAATAGTTTGTCTTTGGCCAAAATAAAAGTGGCAAAGAAACAGAATGGTAACCTAACATGGCTTTCAGGACCCTGGAGTTTACAATTTCCTTGTCAAAACAACCATGTAAAATGTTCCTAATGCAGGAATGCTTTGCTCTTTGATGGAGTTCAGGAAGTCACAGAGGTGTCTGCCTGAGTCAATGATTCTTCTTGGTACTCACTTCGAAAACAAATAAAAAAGGAAATTCTATTCTTAGAGGGAAAAATGTTTGTATCAACTGCTGGAACTCAGGATGGGAAAACGCCACCTTCTGTTTCTCCACTCAGGTGAAGGCGGGAATTAGCCCTCGGCTGCCTGGTTCTTGGTTTGCCATGGGCAGCAGCATCTTACCCTGAATGTTTGCTCCATTTTCTCTCGATGGGTGACTTGATCCAGAGTGCCATCTGTCTGACTCCTTTTCATACCAGTTGTGATGTCAGGAACACTGCTGAAATCTGCAGAAAAAAATGAGACACGTGAATTTGGCCACCTGCAGAGAGCAGTAGTAATGACTGGCTTTAAGGAGAGGAAAGAAGAAAATACTAAGGATTCCAAGGGCAGCGCGCAGCGGGCCGTAACCACTCTGAAGTAACACAAGCAAACCTCTCCAGTCCTCTAGGCTAACCGAAGAAGCAACACCTTCTGCCCATATTGGTCAAACAGACCAATAAAAATACTGACTTCAGTATCTTATTCGCACTTCCCATTGCTGTACAAAACGTATTTCACTAATTCCTGATCTTAAATCATTTTACTTGAATAAAAAATTAAACAACACTGACACTTGTTCATATGTCCCTATATTTTGGCTAAGTGAGGGCAGTTATTAGAATATCTTGGAAAATTAATGATGCAAAATTAGAGACACTTAAAGTCCACTATTTATTCACTTGCAATAATTCCTTTTCTGACATTACGCACAATCTCATCTTAAATTGAAGTTCTACTCGTTAACATCCAGGGAAAAGGTGAAGATACTTGTGCTAAATACAGCACATGGTTTTCCACCCTACAACTGTACACATATTCAATCCTCAATAGTCCTACTGATTCTGAAGCTTACAAATTCAAGAGGTAGAAAGACTAGAATCTATCAAAACATAACACAGGTTTTCTTTCTAGTTCTGATATCTAATAGGCTAATCGCAGGCAGCTGTAAGAGCAGCCAGCCTGTCTTAGATGGCTGAGCCCAAAGGCACAGACAAACCTGCTGACAAAGGGACTGTCCAGCATGACGCTGGGCAAGGAATATAGTCCTCAACAGACCTCTAGAGTCTCTGGAGGCCCTAACAGGTGCACAGCTGGAGGGTAGGAATGTAGTTAATCTATGGTGACATTACCAATCACACCACAGGCATTTACTTATAAGACAAGGTAGGGCCTCCAGAAAACATAGTAATGGTCTATAGAATTCTGCAGCTCAAATTTCTTCTCTTTGCCTTTCCCAATACCTGGTTCCACCCAGAAAAGGACCATACAATGGGAGTCATTCTTCAATGCTATTTGTAGAGTTAAGTTAGCCTAGATAAGGCAGTGCCTATGGCAAAGGCAGGAGCTGTCCCTGGGGAATTTTTGAGTAGCAGTGGCGTTTAAAAGTACTGCGTTTGTCTCTCCCAGACCCTCAGTCCATACCTCAGAGGCAGTCCATGGCCCAGCAGAAGAGTGAAGAAGTGAGACGCCGCCCTTAGCCAAGCCCTGCAACTACCTCTCTTTTGCTCCAGATTCCCTCCACCAATACGTACACTGGGCCAGGACAGGGAATACAAGGATGAATAGACATCCTGAAGCTCTGCTTCTCATCTGGAGAGAGATGACTGGTGAAGACGACGGAGGCAAAGACATGAGTGTGACAAAGCTCAAGGAAAGTCAGGCCTTAAAGACTGCATTTTGAAACATGCCTGAGCAAAGTCTTAAATCTGAAGGGTGATTATATTGGAGACGAAGAAGACAAGGCAAATTGGGCAGCGGGGAGCAGGGAACCTATGAGTGGGAAGCATCTGAGTAGAGACCAACAGCACTAAGATCTGAACACCACTTGGGGCAGGGGCCTTGTTGAGTGTGGCAGCAACAGAGAGGGAAGGAGGCAGTGTACCCCAGGATGGGCAAGGAGGGAAAGACCTGGGCAGAAAACCACATAAGAAAATCACAGCAACACTGCAGGTATGAGGAATAAGGACCCATAAGGAAAAAAAAAAAAAAAAGAATAAAAGCAAAAGAATAAGTAACGGGACAGACTGAGAAGACAGACTCCATGGGACTTCTCGCTGTCATCTATTAAGTATAGAAAGAGGGGTATCAAGAGGGAGACTTGGTTTTGATGTCTTAGGTGACTTGATAGATGGAGACAGAAGAAGAGTAGGAAAGAGAACTGCAAGCTTAGCTTTTGCAATGCTGAGTATGAGAAACAACTGGACCACCCCAACACAATGGTCAGTGGTAGGCCCAGAGAGGTCTTCATCGAGACAAATTTGGAAGTCATCAGAATGTACCTGACAGTGAAGCCAAGGGGGGTAGACGCCACCTATGGGACAGAACCTGCACAGTGACACATAAAGGGCCAAGCGGGGAAACCCTGGAGATACCACTGCCAAGGGCTATAAGTGAGGAGGCCTTTACAAGTAAAGGGCACTTTTTTTTTTTTTTTTTTTAGAAAAAAGAGAAGTCTAAGTAAACCAAGAAAGATAAATAGCACAGAAGCCACACAATGTGAAAGAATATTACCTAGGCAACAGAATGAAATTTGCATTATTACTGCCTTTACCTTGTAAATAAAGGGCTTTGGTATTTCCAAAGAGTTATATCAAGCACAGGAAATATGACACACAGTCCACATACGCATTCATTCACGATGAAAATTTCCACAGCACCTACAGTAGAGCTGGCAGGTACTAAGTACCTGCAGGTACAGAAAGGAATGAGACTGCAAGTCCTCTGAAGAACTCAGGGAGCAAGGGCACAAGGAGCTTTGGAGTCTAAGGCGCCAGATGGATGCTAGTGAAAATAGCATGGGAGATGTCAAAAGTAGGTGCCAAGTGAATTCTGAGTCATTCATTCAATATATTCACAAAACTTTGGAACTTAAATGTGGAAAACTCCCCAATCACTGTTTCTTACAAAGAGATACTGCTTTCAGGTGAGTGAGAAGAACAGCACAGCATTACCCTGTCACAGAACATTTGAGACCTTTCTTGTTAGAGTGCTGCAGCCTCAGAATAAAGGTCTCACCAATGCATTAGTGAGACTACCTCCCCCAACACTTCAGTGCCCCTTAACCCCACGGAGCCTTTGGATGTCACAAAGAACCTTCTGGAGCCACAGGAACAAATTCCTACAGAGCCTAGTCCCCAGGATCCAAGGAGAGGAGGCAGCTCCAAACAGTTCCTGAGATCTGCCAAGACAGGAAACCTCAGAGCTGATCCACCACCTGGATTCCACAGAGGCAGAATGCATCTGGACATACACAGGGTCCCATGGTGACCAGCAATGTGCCAGTGCTGCCCCAGAGATTGACAAGGCACAGAGAGAGCAGAGCTGAGCTTGGTGGTATCCACAGCTGCTGATTCAGCTCCAAGAGAGTAAACCTGATGAGGTCTTACATTCCTGCAAAGGGTATGTGTGCTTGGCGTTCTTTCTAGAGAAGAAATAAGGAAAATGCACACTCTGGAAGAATAGAAGCCTAGCTATGAAAAGAGTGTAGGCTGGTAAAACCCTAATGCTTATTTACAAAGCTGTTTTAAACAGGCACCCTGTCCCGGGTGCCGAATGCCTACACACAGCCCCATTTACACTCTGCCCACATTCTGAGCCAGGGCTGCTAAGGTGAGTAAATGTATCTTTCCTCCTCCATACAAGAAGCTGGCTCACACCTGGCACAGCCTCATCAGGACATACACACAGTAACATGTTTTAGGGGCTCTTTGCCCCTACGGGATGACACTAAGCATTTGATTCCTGCCCACCCTGCACTCTGCTGGATCGTATCCACCACCAGACACCTACCAAAGAGTGACTGCAAATATGAAAAATAACCAATTTATAAACTCAACTTAGAGAGCTATTTGTATCTGCATAGCCTTGTGCCTTTGTCATCTTATTCTTTGTGGAAGCTAAGTTTGGGTGAGTTTTATACTTTAAAACAATTTAACATTTAATGCAGCCAAGAAGAGCTTCTACCTTGTAGCTGATGAGCAGAGGTACAATACCCCAAGTTTTACTCTTGGCTCCTCTGTCACATCCTGCTCATTTCAATTTACTAGCTCCTAGATTCAGACAGGGGCCAGGCACTGAGCATCCACCAGCCACCAGGTCCTACGTGAGGCTCAGCTTTCTTTCTCCTTTAATCAACAAATACTTTTAGAGATGGACAACACATCAGGCATGCTGATGTGGAAAATGATTGTCTCTCCCCCCATTGCACGCCCTATAGTTCCTGGCAGACACCGTGGAAAACACAAGACTTTAAGTAGGAGACACCTAGCAATTCAGTTTCTTCCCGAACTATGTGTCTGTACATCCTCCATTAGTGCCACTATCAACCAAGGGGCTGGCAACCCCAAGTCCTTTACAATCAAAGGGCAAAACCTGTGTTACAGTGACTTCCTGGGTACCAATTTAAAAATAGAAACATAAGGAAATATGCTAAAATTAAGATCACCTCGCCCATGCAGCTTGTAATCGGAATTTAAAGTTTAGAGTTACATCACTTCCAAATCGAACTGAGCAGTTAATATGCAAGAATCCAGGCTTTGCCATTTATCCTTCCTGTCACATAGGAATATCCTGTCACCAGTATATCCAGGTGCTGACTCTGTCAGGCACAAGGCAGAAGTCTTTGGAAATGGGCGGCACCAGGAAGCCTGAGAGAGGGCTTGGTGTGCTAGCGTCCCACCTGCAGCCCACTCCTAAGAAAGCTTGATTGTCACTTTAGCAAGCCACTATCAGGTCTGGCTCTTCTAGCTGATGCCATCCCATAATCCCAGTCTTTCTGGCTTCTTCCTCCTTACTCTACCAGGTAGCAAGACAGCAGGCACTAAAGTTTCTCCCAGCCCAGGGACACCACCCAGGTGGCTGCTGGCAGACCCTAGAAACCCCAAGCAGCTTGTGGCGGTAAGAAGTACAGGAAGAGTAGCTCTATCTTGCAGCAACCGGCACCACTGCGTGGTGACTGTGTGACTGGTTCAAGAAAAAGTAATTTGATAAAAAAAATGTGAGGATGCCTCTGGAGTCCTTAGGAATAACAACTGTCAGAGAAACTGAAAGAAAAAAAAATCAAGATGATATAATTCCCTGTGTCTCAAACCAAGAAACACAAAATGATAAAAATATTTATTCTCTTCTTGGGAACAGTTAAGACTTTAAAATAATTCATGAAGGTAATTGCTATGATTTCAACATTTGCCCCCAGCATTCATGTGTTGGAAAGTCAACCAACTCCAAATTGTAAGGGCAGGGAAGT